CTGTAGATTTCGGTCTCAGTCCCAAGATATCATTATGTATATGCAAATATTTCAAAATCTGAAAACAATATGAAATCTGAAATAATTCTGGTCCCAAGCACCACCTTGTTTGAGATGCCTGGTGCACCCATCATGACAAGAAGCAGCTCTCTGATCATCAGAACTTCCTGGTCTCTTCCCTAGTGCTGGAATTCCCAAGAAGGCTCTTAAGCCATTACAGATGGAGCTTAGCAAAGCAGAGGAAGGCCTCTGTGATGTGGATGAGTCCCACTACTATTCCAATCATGTTTTAAACAGGGTATATATATATCTGCATGTATATATACCCTGTTTAAATGTGTGTGCATATATATAGATATATATGTGTGTGTGTGTGCGTATATATATACGCACACACATCTTGAGACAGAGTGTTACCCTGGCACCCAGGCTGGAGTGCAATGGCGCAATCTTGGCTCACTGTAACCTCTGCCTCCCGGATTCAAGCGATTCTCCTGCCTCAGCCTCCAGAGTAGCTGGGATTACAAGCATCTGCCACCATGCCTGGCTAAGTTTTTGTATCTTTAATAGAGATGGGGTTTCAACATGTTGGCCAGGCTGGTCTCGAACTCCTGATCTCATGATCCACCTGGCTTGGCCTCTCAAAATGCTGGGATTATAGGCATGAGCCACAGTGCCAGGCCAGACAGGGAGATATTTTAGACTTAACCTCGTGCTATCTGCAAAGCAGGGATATATCAACAAACACTTTTCTATTTGGACTGGAATGTTTCAAACATTTTTTTTGTCTGTCTACTTAAATGTGTAAAATGCATTTGTGTGCAAAATTATAAATGTGAAATGCATTTCTGTGTAAAATGTGTAAAATGCATTTGTGTGTAAAATGTGTGAAATGCATTTATGTATATGAAGACTCAGCCTGTTTCATTCTTACAGCAGAGATCTCCTCTAATGACTGGTTAACAGCAGCCAGCTCCACTTCCTGCTTCCCTGCAGGGTAACTAATTAATAAACTTTCTCCTAATTGAGTTCTGGCTGCCAGGTCCACAGGGATTATTACTTATATGTAAGTAAACAAAATTTCCATTTTAAACCACGCTTCGGATCTCCTTATTATATTTTAACCAGTTATAAATTCACAAAATCAAGCAGGTCCTGGCAGGGAGGCCGTGTGCAATGGGGTCTGGATCCTTTCTCCTCAAGAGGAAAGAGAGGTCCCCCAGTCTGCAGCTCCCAGGGGCCTGCACTCTTCCCCCCGCTTCATCCTCACCTCCTGAAACATCAGGAAGGACCTACAAGAGGTTTTGGAAGCCACTCGTGGTATTTGCCTTTTCCTTTAACCCGAATGCATTATTTAAAAGCAAGTTTCTTTCACAATCTAAAAACAGGAAGAAGACGAGTTGGCTATTAAATATTTAATAAGCGTGCAGGATTCCTTAGGTACTGATTTGGTGGATCACTGAGTTTGGCTGAATTTCAGGTTCCAATATTTGAAGTCATTTAACGAACTGTCTCCTGGTTTTCAAGATTTCTCCTGACTTTCAGATTCCAAATTGAAAGCAGAACCGAAAAAAAGTAAAAAACCAAAAACAGAGTAGTCCTCAGTTCGGTCTGAAACCTGGAAGGAGGAGAGATTATCCCCATTCCGGAGTTTTTCTGGTCAGTGCCATTTGGGAGTCATTTGGCTCAAGAGTTAGATGTTTTATGAGTCACTCTTTGTAGCAAATACAAGAAAGTACTTCAGGCCCTGATGATGACAGTGATGACGATAACAATGATTGGCAGCTGCTTCAAAGAATAAACTAAACATTTGTCAGACTCTCACATTCACAGGGCAGAGACATTACCCAGGAGGAAACAGGGAGGGCCAGGTTCGAGGCTAGCTCCGGACATCAAGAGAAGTGTGGATACGATTCTGCGATAGAGTTTAAAGGTCTGGATATCCTCGTCCCTGTCCTAATGTCTGTTTCCCTCTTTAAGAACGTTATTCTAAAAGGAAGCACTCTACGTGGTGCGAGCCTGCTACTGAGAATAAATCTCCCAAGAGATTCCCATTCACTATACTCTGCTCTTCTCCATTGAGACATCGCTCAACATCATGGGCTATCAAGAGAGATCTGGCCCCCTGCTAATGGGCCACCTCCCTGGGGCACCCAGCCTGCTGCACGTGAGGACCGGAACCTCTAGGTTCCCCATTGCGGGCAGCTCAGAGCTGACGGTCACAGCCATCAAGAGCACCCCAGTTAGCGGAACTGCAGCCCCAGCTGTGGATATTTTCCTTGCATCCTGGCGGTAGTAGGAGCCAAGCCCGCAGGCCCAGTCAAAACTCAGGAACATCGCACGCAGCATGGGCACATCTCGCATGCATCACGCTACGTGAAAGCAGACAGACACAAAAGGCCACATCCGGAGCCCATTCCTATGATATTCCGGATAAACGCAGAACCAGGACAACAATCAGATCTGTGGATGCCAGCGGCTGGAGGTTGGGGAGAGGGACAAAGGGCGAGAGGGAGCTTTAGCCTCATTCTCTCGGTGGCTACATGACTGTATGGATTGGGCAAAACTCATCTAAAGACATATAAAAGTGACATTTCGCTGAATGTAAATTATACTGCAATAAACCTGGATTTAAACACTGACTAAGCAGTAGGAAGAGAGGCGCTGAGATGGGGGGAGGGAGGAGGTTTTGCTTGGGGGCAACAGAAGCCCCCAGAGCTCTCTCTCCAGGAGTACGTACTGTTTTCCAAGTCCTTTGAGCCACGAGTAGGCTTAGGGAGGAATGGGGTTGGGAAGCCTGTCCACAAGTCCCAGCTGGATGTCTTTTTATTTTTATTTTCTAAGACAGTCTTGCTCTGTCACCCAGGCTGGAGTGCAGTGGCACGATCTGGGCTCACGGCGACCCTCGCCTCCCTGTTGAAGCGATTCTCCTGCCTCAGCCTCCCGGGTAGCTGGGAGGTGGGCATCAAGACATTTAGTTAATTTTTTGTACTTTTAGTAGAGATGGGGTTTCACCATGTTGACCAGGCTGGTCTCCAACTCCTGACCTCAAGTGATCCATCTGCCTCAGCCTCCCAAAGTGCTGGGATTACAGGTATGAGCCACTGTGCCTGGTCCCAGCTGGATGTTTTAATTCCAGGCTTTATCTAGAACAACTTTGCAGACTGTCCCTGCTTTACTCAATTCGCTTAACAATTTCCAGTCCAGTCCAGAGTTAGATTCTTTTTTTTTTTTGAGATGGAGTCTAGCTGTGTCACCCAGGCTGGAGTGCAGTGGTGCTATCTCGGCTCACTGCAACCTCTGCCTCTAGGTTCAAACAATTCTCCTGCCTCAGCCTCCCAAGCAGCTGGGACTATAAGGTGCCTGCAACGACACCCAGCTAACTTTTCTATTTTCAGCAGAGATGGAGTTTCACCATATTGGCCAGGCCAGTCTTGAACTCCTGACCTTGTGATCCATCTGCCTTGGCCTCCCAAAGTGCTGGGATTACAGGCATGAGCCATCGTGCCCAGCCCAGGGTTAGACTCTTAACTCAGTTTTCTGATTGCTTTTCTGGCATCCAGTGTCCCTGAGACAATCATGCAGAAGGCACTGGGAGCCAGATGCCTGTGTATCAAAAGCCCTACAGAGACGGACAGGGAGGAAGCACAGAAATACTGCCTGGCCGGCCCGACGGGCCTATTACCCACAGCTGGCCTTGGGAACCCAGCAGACCACTTTGCCCCTGGTCCAGGATCCCCACTGGAAACATGCAGCTGACCGTACTCAACTCTGTCGGGTACAGAGCAGACACCACTTCACAGAGGACGCAGAACTGCCCCACGGCCCCTGTTGACTTCGCAGACGCAGCCAGTGGGGTCTGGAGAGGCATAGCGCTGGGCTCCGGGCAGTGCGGCTCACTCAGAGAGCAGGCACCGCGCTTGGGCTTTTTTTTTTTTTTTTTTTGAGACGGAGTTTCGCTCTTGTTACCCAGGCTGGAGTGCAATGGCGCGATCTCGGCTCACCGCAACCTCCGCCTCCTGGGTTCAGGCAATTCTCCTGCCTCAGCCTCCTGAGTAGCTGGGACTACAGGCACGTGCCACCATGCCCAGCTAATTTTTTGTATTTTTAGTGGAGACGGGGTTTCACCATGTTGACTGGGATGGTCTCGATCTCTTGACGTCGTGATCCACCCGCCTCGGCCTCCCAAAGTGCTGGGATTACAGGCTTGAGCCACCGGGCCCGGCAAACCTTTGCTGATGGGCACGATGTGAGGGAGGCAGCCAGGGTCTGGTTAGTTATTCAAAAGTCTCATTTCCATGCTATTTAAAAACCATGGCCCCCACAGTGGACTCAAGGTAATGAGAACACACTGCCCGGGGCTTGGGTGGATGCATGCTGGTGTTTCTCCAGGAGCATTTTTAAGGTCTGTGAACAAAAAGACACTGCGAGGCGGTACGTTCGGCGTCTCACCTACTCACGGCAAGCACATTCATAAATCATCTCTACCAAAGCAAATGCCTTGCCCTGGACTGTTCAAAAGTAAACTTCTGCCCAGACGCTGTAATTATTTTGAATGATGAGTCACTGAAACGCATACTGCAGTCTATTAAGAAAAGTGTGGCTGGCCGTGGTGGCTCATACTTGTCATCCGAACACTTTGGGAGACCAAGCCAAGAGGATCTCAAGACTGGAAGCTCTAGACCAGCCTGGACAGCATAGCAAGGTCCCATCTCTAAAAAAAAAAAAAAAAAAAAAAAAAAAAAAAAAAAAAAAAGAAATAGCTAGGTGTGGTGGCAGGAGCCTGTAGTCCCAGCTGCTTGGGAAACTGAGGCAGGAGGCTCACTTGAGCCCAGGAGTTTGAGGCCGCAGTGAGCTGTGATTGTGCCACTGTACTGCAGCCTGGGTGACAGAGCAAGACCCTGTCACACAGACGCACACAAAGGTCATGGCTGCCCGAGGGGTTCCTGGCTGCGGCCAGAGCACTACGGAGGGACGAGCGGAGAGTGTGGCCGACTTACTTCCGCCCTTCCCGCTCTTCTCCATCCGGTACTGGTAGATGTGCAGCGTGAAGAACATGTGTGAGTTACGGCGATCGTCCTCGTCACAGTCCTGCTGGTGGCTCCTGCGGGAGGCGATGGCGGCGTCCAGGAAGAAGGCGGCCTTCTCCGCGGTGGGGGCCCGCAGCTCGCTCTGGTTCTGCAGCTGGAAGACAGAAGCCAAGGGCGGAAGCTTTCAGATTCCAGCCCTCTAAGCTCGAAAACCCTTCTGGAGCCAGGTGCTGTACTCACGTGTAATTCTCAGCTTAATTAATTCATGTCTGAAAGTTAATACTGAGCATGCTTATTGGATGAAACCTATTTTTACCCATTTGACATCCTAAGTAGAATGTGGAAATGCGGGGTTGAAAAGCTGGGAGCAGATGGCCCATCCTTATCTCTGCAGAGGACCACAGGCCGACACCCCTGGCTATCCATTTACCTAAGAAAACAGGAGGATGCAGCTGCATCTGGATTCCAAAGATTAGACTGTTTGGAGACAGGTCTGCTGCAAACTGTGATTTTAGACCTGATAGCAGAGGTATCCCAAAGAGGTTAAAAAACGTAGTTAGCTTTCATTTGACTCCTAGTTTTTCAGTTCCTTGATTAAAGCCAATTTTAGGTCATATTTACTAGCATAGTTATAAATAAGCCAGTGTAAACGGCACCCTGAAACACCCACGACACTGGAATGTCTTATCTAAGCGTAGGAGATATCTAAATGTAGGCGATATCCCTGTTCCTGGCATACTCATGAATCGATTAAAGAAAGCATAGAAAGTAATGTGTCTAAATCTTATGAAAACACTTGGCAATTATTTTAAACCTGAATCACAACAATCTTCTTAACAGAATTTAACCAGCTCTCCTCTTTCTGAGGAGAAAAGGAAACTCATGTTTCTGATTTGTTCGAAGAACTAATTTGCAATACATGTCTTAAGGTTGGTACAAATTCTGGTAATTTTCTACTCTAACTATACAAATAATTTTGGACTCACTTTAAGAGCTAACATTTGGAACCTGAGACCATCAAGATCCTCAAACTTCAAAGAGAGATTCTTTTGTGTTCACAATTTTGACTTACTATGGAAGCCTAAACCAAAGGGTTTCAAAGATTTTTCAATGAGCGTTAAAGGGAACGTGGTCCTTCCCTCTTTTCGTCTGCCTTCATGTAACCAGATCTTTCATCCCTAAGTGGAACTTCCTCGATGAAGCTCTAAAAGCAACAGAGGTGAAAGCAGATTGGAATGCCCAGGAAATGCCTGGGGCAGGAGCGGGGGTCGGGCCCTGCTGATGGCCGGCCCCGCAGCACCCTGTAGATGCCGCCTCAGCGCATTTCACGCCTCAAAGCAGTGCCTTCAAACGTGTGAGCCCTGGACCAGCCGCACCAGCATCTCGTGGGAACTGGTTAGAAATCCATGCACACTTCGGAGCTCTACTCCGGCCTATGGAATTGGAAGCTGTGGGGGTAGCGTCCAGCGATCAGGGTTTAAACAAGTCCTCTGGTGACTGACGCAGGCGAAAGAGGACTCAGAGGAAAATGGAAGGATGAGGTGCTTTAAGCAGGGCAATAGCATGGTCAGGTTGGAGCAAAGGAGTCTGACAAGCCGCGGGAGGTACCCTCATCTCTGCAAACAGTCCCTGTTGGGAAGAGGCAGGTACTTATATTTCTTTTATTTATGTATTTATTTATGTATTTATTTATTTATTTTTGAGACAGAGTCTCTCACTGTCACCCAGGCTGGAGTTCAATGACACGCTCACAGCTCACTGCAACCTCCGCCTCCCGTGTTCAAGTGATTCTCCCGCCTCCCGAGTGCTTGGGATTACAGGTGCTTGCCACCACGCCCAGCTAATTTTTTTTATTTTTTATTTTTAGTGGAGACAGGGTTTCACTATGTTGGCCAAGCTGGTCTCAAACTCCTGACCTCGTGATCTGCCCGCCTCGGGCTCCCAAAGTGCTGGGATGACAGGCGTGAGCCACCGCGCCCGGCCGAGGCACATACACCTATCCAAAAAAGGAGGCATCTGATCAAACGGGAAGCTAAGGCCTACTGCTAGAGACAGGAAGGACTGATTCTTCTGGAAATGAACTGTGGCTCCCGAGTCAGTCCCATGTCTACTGTCAAACAGCAAAGGAGAGACCCTCGCAAGACACAGCATCCTCACCCTGCGAACTGGAGCTTCTCCTGGCTTCCATAGCTCAGCAATTATATCATGGTTCTAATTAGAAAGTGGTTATTAGTTTTTCCGGCAGCGCCGCTGATCCGGCTGTAAACCGGTGCCAGAAACACAGTTTATAGAGTCATAAACAGCCCCGGTAATGGCTGTAGCTATTGGTGAAGAGCAGTAAATATTTCGGTTTGTTGTTAAACAAAAGAAAGATTGTCCTTTTTTTTTTTTTTTTTTTCTTTTGAAAGGGGCATAAAGGAAGTGAATTCAATTTCTCTCTGAAATGCTGTAACAATTGTGGTTCCTGCTCATTGTCAATTAAAGTCAAGATACAAATATTTAGACTGGCCCAGCAGATGGCCCGCAGCTGAAGGCTATAAAGTCCCCGTCCACTTTAAAGTAAACACCCGTCAGCCTCCCAGTTTACAGGTTGAGTGATTCACGGTGGCGCGGGCGGCCCAGCCTCGAGGTGGGGAAGAGGCCACCAGGCTCCAATCACCTGCGTGCCGCAGATGGGGTCCTCACACAGGTACACGCCCGGGGACTGGCCGTCCTGCAGGCTGCCCGTGGCCACCTCCGACAGCAGGTCCCGCAGGCTCTCCTCCTTCCCCCGCACTTCCACGGCCGAGATCCGGACTGAGAAGCGGGTGCCGGTCTTTTCCTTCCGTTCGTTTATGAGCTTGAAGAGCCAAGAGATGGCGCAGGGGATGACGCCCAGGCCCTGCATGGAGTCGTCCTTGCCGATCATGGTGTAGGACTTTCCTGGGAGAGCCAGGGGAGGAAGAAAAGCAGTTTGAGTGTTCAGGCATCCTGCCATCGCGGCTCCGAACGGATGCCACGGATGTAGAAGAAAGGCATGGGCAGGTGGGGCAAGGGCACGGAAAGATGAGAGAAATACCATTTGGCAGCAAGGCGTTTGCGGGCATGACTGATTAAATGGCCATCATGAAGAAGGCTGCTGGACTCAGTGGCTCACGCTCGTAATCTCAGCACATTGAGAGGCCAAGGTGGGAGGATTGCTTGAGGCCAGGAGTTCCAGGCCAGTCTGGGTGACATCCTGAGACCCTGCCTCTATCAAAAAATGTTTAAAAATTAGCTGGGTGTGGTGGGGCATGCCTGTGGTCCCAGCCACTTGAGAGGCTGAGGCGAGGCGATCGCTTGAGCCCAGGAATTGGAGCTTACAGTAACCTGTGAGCAGGCCATTGTCCTCCAGCCCAGGCAACTGAGAGCCTGTCTCTCAAAAAACACAAAGCGAGAGCCCAGACATGCGGCAAAATTAAATCACGATGTACCTTGAGGAGGATCCCAAATATCACATGCTGCCCAGTTTCCGCACTGCTTGCACAGCAGGAGGGAAGGGGCTTTTCATCACCAGGGTTATCTTTACAGCCGCCCCACGGATTAGGACACATATTCACCTTTATATCCTTTTTCAAGTTAAACGCTGTGTATATTTTTACGGCGTGAGCAAATGCCATTAAAATCCAGATCCCTGCCTAGCTGCAGAGCAAGAGGAAGGGCAGAGAGGGGCATGCCTTTCTGTCCTGGCTGAGAAGTGGCCTCCGCGAGCTCTGCCAGGCCTCTGCTGGAATCTCTGCCAAGGGACACTTTTTGGAGCTCCGCAGTTCACTAAGCATAGCAAGTGTGTAGAGCAGATGGCCACAGGTCAGCATTAAGAAGGGACTGGTGGTCGGGGAGGGGGGCGGATTATGAAGGTCTTGTTGGGGGGCTCTGCTGCCTCCTTTCCCAGATGCTTCAGTGCTGGAGCGTTCCTGACAGCGTGCAACGCTTCCCCCACACGCGTCCCACCACGGCTCTGGGCTTTGCTCGGAGGTTAGATGGAGTCTTGCTCTTCACCCAGGCTGGAGTGCAATGGCGCCATCTCGGCTCACTGCAACCTCCTCCTCCTCGGTTCAAGTGACTCTCCTGTCTCAGCTTCCCAAGTAACTGAGACTACAGGCATGTGCCACCACGCTGGCGAATTTTTTTGTATTTTAGTACAGGCAGGGTTTTGCCGTATTGCCCGGGCTGGTCTCAAACTCCTGAGCTCAGGCAATCCACTCGTCTCAGCCTTCCAAAGAGCTAGGATTACAGGCGAGAGCCAACTGCGCCCAGCCCTCTCCGGCTTTTACAGGGACTCCAACCACCAACCTGCATCCTCGGTGGAGGGGGGCTGCCAGGGGCCCTATCTGCTTCCCTAACAGCAGCTGCTCAAGAAATCAATGTTTCCCACCTGCCTTCCGGGCCTGACTCTGACCTGGACCCAGTGGGAACAACCCTGCTGCTTCTCTGTCCATCTCTTGGACTTGAAAGCTTTCCCACGTGAATGGGTGTCCGCCTGCGACGAACGACGCAGTGTTCATGGTGTCAATTGTTATTGGTTATTTAGCTCAGCACCTAAGAGAGGCACAACCCTTCCCTTCACCCCTTCACCAGAGGACTCTGGGGGAGACACAGAAGAATGCATGGGATGACAGGGAGCCTGCCGAGCAGCACGAGAAGGTGAAACTCTCACGAACCCAGCTTGGCGTGGCCGAAACAGAACACGCAGCCGTCTGCCCCGTTGACCACAGACTGGATCACCTCCGCCACGGTGCCCGCACACACTTCAGCCTGTCAGACACAAGAGGAGACACCAGCCGTGAATGGACCATGCAGCAGAGCCGTCACTAACAACGAGAGTGAGCCCACCTTCCCGGTATCAGGTGGGTCAGCCTCTGCCATGACGTCCTAGAGGTGCTCAGAACCCTCGGCTACCTTCCGCCCTTTGCAAGCCTGAGCACTACGCACGTGAGCCGCAACCACCCTCCTGCTAATCTTTGGTCTATTTCAGCGGCTGCTTCTGTAGACCAGGCAGGGACAGGCTGGAATGGACCTCATTCCCTTCCCTCATCTGCCATCTGGCCCCCCAGACAAGGCCTTTAACCCCTCCGTTCACTCTCTGCTAACACACATATACATACAGTTCATGGAACAGGCCAGGCTTCCTAGTGGGGGAAAAGGGCACCCACCATTTCATAAGCGTGGAAAGTAGAAAAGTTCCTCTTCAAACTTTCCTTGCTTGTTAAAAAATAAATTTGCTAATAACTCTTCGTTTAGCCCTATCCTGTGTAGCTGTTAAACGTGCCGTGCTTACAGGCACAGAGTATATTCTATGTCCTATACTTTAACCAAAATATCTGTGCTGGACATGCTCACAGCTCAGTCTATGCCCCTTACCTGTTTAAACAAGTTTAAGTTATTAGCCAACTGGGTTTTAGTTTAAATGGTAAGGTCTGGCTCCAACCAGCAGAGATCAAACACAGTAAGAACAACCCCAAATGCGTAAGGGATAAATATGTCTGCTTTTCCTTTGCTCATTGTACTCTCATGGCAAGATGCCTAGCAAGGGTTCCCTTCTGCAGTGCAGGACGTAAAACTGCTTTGCTGAAAAATCCTTTGTCTCAGTGCTAATTTTTCCTTGCGGCACCAAGCCTTTCTCTACTGATGTCTTTCTCCATTCTCAGTTCACATCCTCCTCCTCCTTCCTTCCTTCCTTTGCTTGCTCTCTCTCTCTCTCTCTCTCTCTCTCTCTCTCTCTCTCCTTCCTTCCTTTCTCTCTCTCCTTCTTTCTCTTTCTTTCTGTCTGGAGTGCAATGGCACAATCTCCACTCACTGCAGCCTAAACCTCCTGGGCTCAAGTGAGCCTCCTGCCTCAGCCTCCCAAGTAGCTGGGATCAGAGGCATGCACCACCATGCCTGGTTATTTTAATTTTTTTTTTTAGTAGAGCTGGGGTTTCACCATGTTGTCAGGCTGGTCTCAAACTCCTGACCTCAGGTGATCCACCCACCTCAGCCTCCCAAAGTGCTGGGATTACAGGTGTGAGCCTCCACAACCGACCCACCCTCTTTTCAAAGCCTGCCTTTTCTTTCTTTTGCTACGGATATATTCAACATATATACTATCAGTCACCACGTGGCATGTTGTTGGGTGTTCTTCAGCCTGATGTGTGTGTCTGCTCTCCAATGTGATTATTAAATCCTAGACAGGGACCAGGCCCTGGAGGACGTTTTGTATTTCCCCTGAACACCCACTAATAAGAGTGCCCTGCGGTTTTGAGGACTAACTTGGAAATGTGGGAAACGTGCTTCTCTTTGGTTAGCACCTGAGACTTGTCACAGACGCAGAAAAGACAGCGTTCTTCCTGCGCCCTGCCGCTTTCACTTCTGTCTCGGGGCTGGAGTCAGAGCTGGTGGAAGCTCCGGGAGGCGGCGCTAACACAGGGCTTCGCAGTCCTCGGGGCAGCGTGCCTCCCCGTGGGCACCTGGGCTATGAATACTGTCATTCAGCTGTGGGTTCCAGCAGCACAACGAACCCAAGTATTTGGAAGTCAGTTTTCTCTCCTGAACTGCCAAACCACACTTCGAACAACGGTTCCTTGTTCCAGGGTGGGCCTCAGCCACTGTGTGGGGGTAAGGGGGCTCCTCCTGGGCCGAAGCGGGTGGCAGGACAGGGCTGCTGTGGGGAACACAGGATCTTTCAAACCCCCAGGACCTAGGCAGGGAGAGCCCAGTGCTAACCCTGACACAGAAGCAGTGGCACCTTGATGGAATCTGCAGAGCGGGCAGAAGGCTGCCCGGTGAACTAAGCCTTCTTTGGAGAAAAAGTGAGATGGGAGGCCGGCGGCTGAGCAGTCACCTTGAGCTGCACCTGCAAGAAGCGGCGTTTGATTCTTGAGGCACCTGGGAGAACGCTGGGTGTGTGTGGACCACACTGGGTCACCTGTGCAGAGGCTGGGGCGGCATCCCCTGGCAGAGTGCCCGCTCGGCTCTCCGCTGAGAAGGGTGGTCGTGGGCAGTCCGTCTGGTGTGTGTTAAGAGCTGACACTGGCCCCTGGAGGTCCCTCCCTGCTCCCCTTGGAGCTGGAGGCACGCAGCCTTCCCGAGCACGGCCCCACGGGCAGGGCCAGGTCTGCAGGAAGCCTCTGCTTGCCCACACGTCCGGGTTCTCCTCCCAGCAGGGGCACATCCCAGCAGGGGCAGCCAGTGACTGCTGAGGCCACTGAAGGGTAATGTGGATGTCTGTCAAAGGCAACTAGGAACCAGGTCTGTTGTAATCATTGCTTAGCTGATTTCCTGAGGCCAGGAGAAAGCACAATTCATAACTGCCCGGGTCACCATGGTGGCTGTGGCTTCACAGGCTGATACTCGGGGCTTGAGAGCGGAGGCCGCTCCACACACTCCCTGCTTTCAGGCTTCGGGAGCTCCAGGGGTGCTCGCCCCGTGGGGCTGAGCTGGCCCTGGCCAGCAGCAATGGTAACAGTAAAAAACAGCCACGTTTACTGAGCACCTGCTGCGTTCCTGGCTCTGCCGTGAGCACCTCATGTGTGTCAACTCGACGAATCACACAGCCTGATGAAGAACACTGCTCATGTCCCCATTTGACAGATCAGGACACTGAGGCCCAGAGAGGTTGAGTGACTCGCCTGAGGCCACATTGCTAGGAAATACCGCATAAAATGGAGGGAGGTCAAAGACAGGATACCCTATCGAGCAGGATACAGAGACGTAATAGGAGGACTTCAGGAAGGATGTCTGCTGGGAAAGGGACTTTGAACAAGTGACTCAATCTTTGAGTCTCGGATTCCTCGTGTGTTATGTGAAAACAGCAATGCCTCCCTTCCTACCCCACTGAAATCTAGAGTCAAATGCTTTCATGTCTGTGAAATGTCTTGCAAACGGCAAATGTATGCAGACATGCAATTTATTATAGCACTGGAAATTTGAGTGAAAGTAACGCATTCCGAAATGAGTGAAACTCCAACACTGAGCGTATGGAGCTCTGGAGCCAAGTGTGAAATGTAAACAAAGACTAGCAATAAAGATGGCTCCTTTTTCTGGAATAAATCTAAAACTCATTAATAGTCCCTGCTTTATTTAGGGTTTGCTTTGGAATCCTTACAATTTGGGGAGATTGGCTTCTGAAAAGTTTTAACTGTGTTAATTAAATTATTTGTAGACTGTTTATTAGACCCAATGTCAGGTTTAAATGACTAAGCCCATTGGGTGGTATGCCACACACAAAAAAAATGGAATAAAGAGAGAAACCGTAGAACTTATTCATAAAGTACTTTGTCTTCTTGGGTAAAAACTTTTTGGGGAAACCACATGCTAAAACTGTGAATGAATGGAGCTTATCACATGTGTTATGTGGTGTAATATAAGAGCCGGTGAGCACACCACCGCCTCCTCCACTCAGAGGCAGCCTGGAGGAAACTGCAGACGGCAGCATCTGCACTGCTGCCCTCAGGTTCTGCTATGGACTATTAGTTACTATACACTTTGAGGTGAATCTTGACAAGCACTAGAAACTGATCAAAAAATTGCAAAATCCAGGCTACAGAGGGCACTGTATACCTATGACCTGGCCTATTTATTTCTGCGGTTAGTTCTACACACATGTCCGCTCTCCGTCCCCTGCAGGAACAGGTACTGTTTGGTGGCACTTAGAGGCCCATCTTCACCAAAGCTCCAGAGTGAATCCAAATGAGAACAGATGTCCACTAGAAGCTTTAGCTGCAGCATCTGGTAGGGGCTACAGTTCGCTGGCTGCCCATGGCCCAGTCATCCTGGTACCCTGGACCCCCAAGTAGCCTCCCAATTATGCTCACAGTAGATTAATAAAACTGGCCCCAATTCTCCAGCCCAGTCTGGGTACAGGCCCCTTGCAATGTGAGTTGGAGCTCGTCCAATCATGAGGAGCAATCTCTTCCCCATCTCTTGAAGCTGGGCCAGTAGAATCCAGCAGAAGTGATACTGGGTCGATGGCTGAGCTTAGGCCTCAATAGACCGGTACGCGTGGGCTCGGACAGTGCCGTGAGAACTAGCCCAGGCTTGCCTGCTGGATGATGAGAGGCGGTGTAGAGGAGAGACCGGCTGACTTGGTCAAGGCTATTCTAGACCAGCGTAAAGCCAGCCAACCCCAAAGCCATGTGCCTACAGTGTAATACAGGATTAATCCAGCCAAGACCCACAGAGCTGCCTACCCACCCACAGCTGAGGACAGACATGAACGTGAGCTGACTAGGGACAGAAGAGCTGCTCAGCTGACCCAGGATTAATAGCGAATGCTTCTTGTGTTAAGCACTGAATTTCAGGGTGATTTGTAATGCAGCAATTAAACTAATATAACACCTATCCCCAGGCCTCTCTTCTTCCCCTTCACTCCACTGATGCATGTCAGGCCACAGGATGCATGTCAGCCTCAGTTTCCCTGCCTCACATTCCGGTTCCTTACCAGGACTATAGATATGCCCTCAACCCCAGTGTGCTTATATAGAGTCCTAGGATAGTGCCGAGTTCTAATCAGCTCTCTGAAACACTTTTTCCCTTTGTACAATGCCCACACCCAGAAACCCAGGCAGGAGTAGGCTCCTCCTAGACCCATCGCCAGCACCTTGATGCGGTTGCCCTTCCTGTCTGTTACCTTCCTGCTTCTGCGTGTGGTCCACTGACCGGCTCATACTTCCTTTTCCCCAGGGACATATTTTATCGAAATTCCTGCACACAGGTCCTGCCCAGGGTCTGACACCAGTAATTCAAAAGCACTGGACCATTCGAGGGAGCTCAGACTGACTCGTGGAGGAGCTGGTCCACCAGAATGCTCCAGAAGACGCCCTCCCAGCTCAGGGGTCCTTGTGAATGAGCGAACGCTGCTTTGATCCACGTTGCCTGAGCCTGAGGGGAGGCCAATACCCACCTGAGAAGCATCTTGTGGAAAGACCGCGTCAAAGGCAAACATCTTTGGAGGAACCTGGTTGCCTCTCTTGGAAAAGGCATTTTGACCTCCACAAGTCAGAGGATCGTACAAGGTGATCTGCTTCTTCCGTGGGTCCACCTTTAAGAAAGAGCTGGATTCCGAGGTATCTCGAGCCAAGGTGGAACAGACACGAAGCATGACTTTCACCTGTTAAGAGAAGAGGGGCGACAGCAGGGATGAGGGCAGCACCCTGTGTGCTCTGCGAATAGAAATGCTGAACTTCCTCAGGATAAATGAGGATGAAATGCACAGTGAATTAGCAACATCATCCTTGCTAAGCCATGGGGAAACGGATTTATTTACACTGACCGGGTAGAATACTTGGATATGCCCATTACTTCAATATGGAGACGGCACATCATGTTCTTTGTCTTCCTATTAATATAAATTGAATATTAACTGTGCCCGCGTGGCCCAATTACACAGATGAAAAGGTAATCTGGGCTGCCAAACTGTAGAGGCTGGTGTAGTTTCCTTGAAGCTCACAGATCACTAAACCATGCACATAAAAGTTAGCGCCATAATTTACTCCTTGGCTCAGCTCATCAGGACTCCAGGAGACAAAAATCCACAGTTATTAGTGTCATCATTAAAGCGCCGTGAAATGGCCTGCTTTTAATGGCCAGCATTTGAAACGTGTTCCAAGGGGCAACAGTGATCAAGGACTGGTTTGCAACACGTTATCTGGCATCCCATCAAGTGAGTGCAGAGTTGCCATTTCAGAGAACAGAAGGGCCGCTCTGGAGGCAGCAGGAGCTTTGCCCTTTAACCCACTTTCTGAGTAACTGAACACTGAGCACTCGGTGCTCACCACCAACCCGGCCCTGCTCCTGCAGGTGAGCGAGGTGCTTACGCAAATGCACAGTCTGTCCTGGGGGCCCAGGGTGAGCAGAAATCAAGCTGAAGCCTCCCACAGGTCTGCCGGCTACAGCCCTGGGGAAAGGGACGGCATGTGTTCTAACCAGCTCCTTGCTACTGGGTTGTGAGTTCAGTCCAATAAATAATGGGCACTTGTGTGAAGCACCTACTATGGCACTTACGTTGAGACCTACTATGCATGAGGCACTGCGCTAGGCATGGGGGATTCAAAGATAAGTAATGCGTAGAGTAGCAGGATAGCCAGACAGAGACAGGGCATCTGAGTAATATATGGCAGATTCTGAAGGAATGCACAAGGATGATTTCTAATGTCCTCTCTGCGTTTTATTTTCTTTGTCTTATCAGTTGTCGGGTTTGATGAAATCTGTCATGCAATTTTGGGGAGGAGGGGTGGTTGTAAATTTTCTTTCTTTTTTTTTTTTAAGACGGAGTCTCTCTCTAGCCTGGAGTGTAATGGTGCTCGGCTCACTGCAACCTCTGAGTTCAAGTGATTCTCCTGCTCAGCCTCCCAAGTAGCTGGGATTATAGGCAAGTGCCACCACACTCGGCTAATTTCGTATTTTTAGTAGAGATGGGGTTTCTCCATGTTGGTCAGGCTGGTCTCAAACTCCCGACCTCAGGTGATCTGCCCACCTTGGCCTCCCAAAGTGCTGGGATTACAGGTGTGAGCCACCGTGCCCAGCCGTAAATTTTTAAATAAAATATTTCAACTTACAGAAACGCTCAGAGAATCACGTTTTGTGCAAGCTGGCGATCCTCCTGCTGACCTTGGCTCTATCTGCTGAGCCAACTCATCTGCAGTGCACAAAGCTGAAGGGGAAGAATTCCGAGGGCACTGGGTCCCCAGGCATGCGGCACTGTGTCCCGGCTGTGCCCGCCTTCTAACTGAAGGCAGGACTCTCGGTAGACCCAAAAGCTGGTGTCACGGTGGAAGGAGCCCGAGGGTGGGACACTCCGCCTCCCAGGGCTTAGATCTTGCCTCTCCCACCATGAGGTCATAGAATGACATCTGCCGTGTTGTCTCGTATGCCAGAACTGTGCTGTTATCTACACGATCTCACTGAATCCTTCCAGTCCTCTACGGTGGCGGTATACCTGTCTAGATCTTACAGATGAAACAATGATGTTACATAACTTGCCCCGCGTCACCGAACCTGTGGGTGGAAGGCTGGCCTTGGTCCCACCTCCAACGCCTGCGCTTTCTCCATCATGCCAACTACTGCCTCCCACAGACAGTCACACTTCTTAGAGCCCCAGCTTCCTTACCTGTATAGCCTAACAATGCCCGTCATATGGGTGGTTGTGGAAATTCAATGGACCAGCATGTCAAGTGCTGAGCGTGGCATAGGCACACGGTGGGCATTCAATTCCTGTATCTCTTCCTCCCTCCTCCCTTTACTTGCCTTCTCCTGGATCATGATAACCTATCACTTTCCAATCACAATGTTTATGGTAACGTTTTAGACTGGGCGTGGTACCCATACATGGAATCCCAGTGCTTTGGGAGGCAGAGATGGGAGTTCCAGACAAGCCTGGGAAACATGGTGAGACCCCATCTCTACAAAAAATTTATTTAAAAAAAATAGCCAGGTGAGATGGTGCACACCTACAGGTACCAGCTGCTTGGGAGGTTGAGGTAGCAGGGTCACCTGAGCTCAGGAGTTCAAGGTTGCAGTAAGCTATGATCGTGCCACTGCACTCCAGCCTGGGTGACAGAGGGAGACCTTGTCTCTTCAAAACAAAAAACAAAACAAAACATGATAAGGTTTTAGAACCCCTTGCCCTGGACTCTGGAGAGCTTCGATCACAAGCAGGATACCGAGGGGGATCCCCGACAGACAGAGCTAGTCATTAAGCACTGGGCCCCCAGGGCTCCTATTAGTAAAACAGCCGAATCCCACACAGCCTCTACACACAGGACAATAACCAGTGGGCTTCTCTGCATTCCATTCTGGTAACTTTCCTGTTCACTGGGCTTTTATAGTCTGATTTCAGTTCCATTCATTTCTACAGCTTTGCCTCCGTTACACAGTATGTGTGCTAAGAGCGTGTATTCAAATCGCCACCCTTGGAAGGCACCTGGGACCTCCAGGCTTTCTGTAAGCAAACCTCCCAGTCTAGCCTCCCAGCATGGCAAGCCAGGGATGATGCAGTGCCAGGCAGGACGGATGGGGCCACGGCCCACTGCTTTTCTATTTCACAAGCCTGCATGCGATTTCTGGGTAACTAGAGATGCTGAATGTAAAATATGAGCTAAGCCAGGCAAGGGCCTGCAGGGAGACGCGGGCAAGAAGGGGCTGAATTCGTGAGTCATTTGTCCAGAAGGAACGCTCCTGCATCTTAATGAAATCCCAAGCCTGTGGTTCCTTTTCTGTAGAGAGGCTGAAGATCCCAGTCACTGGTCTGGCCAAAGAGATACACAGTTCTTTAAAAACCCATTGAGCTCCAAGCTGGGGGAAATGCCACACACTATTCTTTTCTTTGCAATTCGTCTAACTAAATGGACATTTTTTTTTTCCCCTTAAAGGAAGGAAATTGAGTTTTTCTGCTTCACCTCCTTCGTATCATTATTCCTTTAGTCCAGCACTCCACTTCCTGCTTAATCCACTGTAATTAAAGTGCTGAGGAGATGCCACTTGTGATCCAGAAAGCCCCTCGGACTTCTCGCCAGGAGTTCTTGGTTTTGTCACTAATGCTCTTGGGTTCTTGGCAACAGCTATCCAGCCCCGCCTCTCCCTGCTGCTCTTCCATAGAGAGACAGGCAGGTACTAGCCTGCACCGCCTTCCCCCAGCTCTCGGGGTGGAAGGGACAGTCACTATTCCACTCCCCAAGGCAGACCTGCAGGGCATGGGATCCAGAAAGCTATAGGAACAGTCTGAGCGGTGGCCAGGAAGGGCTGACACCCTGATTCCAGCAAGAGGAGACTGGCATTTCCTGCACCCAACTTCCCACTGGGGGGGACCCCGCTCTGCCCTGTTTGTCTACTGAATCCGCGGATGGAGCGGGACAGCTGTTGCTCTGGGCGGCAGTTATCTTTATGTCCCGCTCATTCATCAGTTCAGCTTGTTCCGGACGGCATCACGGGACTGAGGGAGAAAGGAATTGTGAGACACTCACAGAGAGAGGTGGCACCTCGCTCCCGAGCTGCAGAGACGCTCACTCCACCGACACGGAGGCGATTGCTGCCTGCCACACCGCCCGACCGCGGCCCGTAATCACTCGCCGCCACTGCCATCCATGATCACGGCACACAGATATTCCCGTTTGTCCCTCGTCACAGAGCACAGCCCCGTGCTGCACGCCTAGGAGAGTCTTCTTGGCCTGTTTCTCTACCCAGAGGCTGTCCAGCTGAAGGTTTTCTGCAGACTCGAGGGTTCAGGAGGGCTACGGGCAAAATGTGACCTCTGGAAGGATCCCTTAGCCATGAGAAAAGGACTGCAGGCCGGGTGCGGTGGCTCACGCCTGTAATCCCAGCACCAGGGAGGCCTGAGGTCAGAAGTTTGAGACCAGCCTGGCCAGCATGGTAAAACCCGTCTCTACTAAAGAAAAGAATACAAAAATCAGCCGGGCATGATGGCAGGTACCTGTAACCCAGCTACTTGGGAGGCTGAGGCAGGAGAATCACTTGAACCCGGGAGGCGGAGGTTGCAGTGAGCCGAGATGACGCCACTGCACTCCAGCCTGGGGGATAGAGTGAGACTGTCTAGAAAAAAAAGGACTGCGGGTGACGAGAAGGTGGCAGGAGCAGGCAGGACTCCACCAGCCCTTCTCATGCGCGAGTTTGTTTCAACTTACTTCGTGCATGCCCATGACGAAGGCCGTCTACAGACACACAGGACACCACGGACAGTTCCCTGACCTGCGTCTTGGGCACGATGAATGCCCAGCAAGAGTGTGTAGGTGATGAGAAACAGCTTTCACCTCTACAACGTTCTAGGCTACAGAGTTCAAGTCACCACTGGCCTCTTCCGACCCCTTAGCCTCTGTCTATCTGAACTTCCCTTACGCTGATGTTTGAGTTCCGGGGTTCTTGAGAATCAGCTCGGTAGAAACTGGACACAAAGCAGGAGCACCATTTGACATCATTTCTGTCCCAATCCCAGCAGGGCTGGAATCAACTCTAAGCTTTCCACATCAGTCTTTAGTTCCTAAAATACGGCTGGACCTCGTTCTCCAGGGGAAGGCAGAGGTGAATAAGCACGGGCCATCACCAGGAAGAATGATGCGAACGGCAGAGAATGGAAGACTGCCAGAGGGATTCTCAAAG